GGGCTGTCCCCGGGGTGGGGCTGGGGGCGGTGTCCTGCCGGGGCAGCGGGAGGGGGCCGAGCTCCCGGCCCGGGCGGCTGCGGTGCCTGGGCTGAGCAGCGCTCCCCGGCCGTGGGAGCCGGGTGCCCTGAGGGGGGGCTTAGCGGCAGCGCCGTTTGCAGGCCCTGGTGGCCACGGGTTCAGCGCTGCGTTCTGAAAGCAGAGAAGGACTCCAGAGGGCAAAGGTGGTACCGGTGCTTGTGTGTGCTGCGTGGCGACCTAGAAAAGAACCTGTTGCTCAAAAGATACTCGTTTTCCTTGCCTTTGGTTGGCCGGGGACTGTAGCTTTACTCCTCCTCTATTCTCCAAGTTAACACCTCTAAAGAATCACTATGGCTCTTTTGTGCTAAAACACAAATTGTATATTGTGGTGTTGGAAGTAGACCTTATCCACCTCCCATGAATACCTAGTTACTGCACCAGGGGGCTTTCACTTTTCTTTCTGAGAATGGTAGAATCACCAAGAGCTTTTCCTTTGGAGAGAACAGGAAGGGTAGATCCATACATTTTAAAGTTTTCTCCCCACAGGCAGCTGTCTGGGTCCTGTGTAGCTAAACGTGTTAAGATTTTTTTGTAAAAGAGCATATATATAAACTGACAGCATTCGTAAATAGTATAAAATGGCTCACTTGTCATTGCTTGGGGTGGAGGAGGTAGACAAGATGATTTCCAGAGGTCCTTTTTAATCTATATTATTCTGTCTTTCAAATAAAGTTAAGAGAGTAGTCAGTGATGGTATGAACTAAGTACAGAGGAGGAAATGGAGAGAAAATCCTAGCACAATATTGTTGCAACAATCCAGGGGACTTTGTAGCTAAGTCTGTAAGAGGAGAGCAGTGGTGGTACAAAGGGCAGACTAAGACTGATGCTAACAAATCTGTCATCTGTCATGGGTTGGTTGGTTGTGCCTTTAGTCTGCTAAGACCGTCAGAGGTTTAGTTACTGTGATTCAGGACCTCTTGATTAATCTCTTGCACACTAGCTACTTAATGAAGACTGCCCAAAACTTGGTGAGGTATCACTGTCTTTTTTTATTGTTAAAGAATTGCTTTCATGCAGGATGTCATTTTGTATGTATTCTTTCAAAAGGGCCACCACCTGAGAAGCAGATATTTAATCCTCTTCCAGCTCTTAGGAAGCCAATTTAAGCTTGCTAGTAGAAGTAGACACATGGGGTTACTTTCTGTTCCAGAAAAGGCTTCTCTTTCAGGCCCTGTCATAGAAGACTAAAATCAGTGTGTCATCGTATGAGTTGATGGTGTCCTTATATGTTTGAGACTCTGTGCTTTTCTGGTTATTGCACATCAAAAAAGGTATAACAGATGTAGGTAAGGCAAAGAGTGGGCTGGCAGGATTAAGAGTTTGGACAGTCTTAGTGAGATACAGGATGGTTTGCATGGGAACCATGCAAAGAGTAACTAAATAGACCTACACTAATAGAGTGTAAGAGTAACTAAATAGACCTAGAAGAGGATACAGGAGGAGAGTAATGTGCAGAAGAGTAGCTTCAGAAGTTACAAACAGTAAGGGGATGGCATGAAGAGAAATGCACAGTAGTCTCTGATCAGAAAGCAAATTAAGAACAAAAGGAAGTACTTTTTCATAAATAATAAAACTTTGTTGCCTCAGGATGTTATGGAGACAAAGTTTTAACTGGGTTCAAGAAGGATTTATTCATCTGTATGGAAAAGAGGTTAATTACTATTGCTTGGATTCTGGCTGTGGCTTGTCTGGAAATCCCAAAACAGCTGATTGGTTTCTAGAAATTGCAGAATAAAAGATCATTCTACAGAAGTTCTTTCTCTTACACTGCTTCCTAGACATCTGAGCTAGCTAATTCACAATCATACCACGTTTCAAAAAGTGTTTTTTGTTTTTTTTTTATTTCAGGGACAGAAACAAAAAAAACCCTAAGGCTAGTGGTGAAACATAGTATTATGTAGGGTAACTTAGCATAAAACTAGTGTGAATACTATGGTATTCATGCTCAGTAATGTTTGTAATGTGGACATCCAACACAGATACATAAGATGGAGTGAGACCTTGAGGTTAAATTACTTTAGTACGAGTAGTGCTTACAAGAACAATAGAACTACTAGATTGGCTTTGAATAAACAGCTGTACAATATGTTATGGTGTTTAGATATTAAAGTAATACATATCATCAACTGGATAGGAGTTTTAACCCTAGAGTTGGAAGGCTAGGTTACATGTGTAATTTTTTGACTAGTTCTGAAATCATTAAGAACTAACTTGCATTTGTGGAAGTGGTGTCTAATTTAGTTCAAGTATTTTTTGGTGAATAAAAAATTTAATAAACCCTAATTCTGTAATCTGATGTTACAAAACGCTGCAGATTAGTACAGGCTGTGATGTTGACAATAACAGTGGTTATTCTCTGCTATATTGAATGTGAAAGTCATAGTTGAATTGCAATTTGTGAATTATTTTTGAAGATGGGCAAGGTTTGCGCCATTTTTGGAGGATCCCGAGGAATAGGAAAAGCTGTTGCAGAATTACTGGCACAGAGAGGCTGCCGCTTGGCAATTATTGCTAGAAATCTGGAAGTAGCCCAAACCACTGCACGTAATCTTGGTGGTATGTATGCTGCTATGCAATACTTTCTTCACTGTCTAGTGATTAGTTAACTTGTAAAAGTACCAAGTCATAAAATAAACCTCATTGTTTTAACTAGATAAAAATGAAATTTGAAAGAAAAGCCTTATTGGTACAATTTTCACAATATTCTTTGGGAAAGTTAAGTATTCTACAGTTTATATCTTATGGACAGAATAGGTAAGATGAAAGAATTGTTCAAGATCACAACAGGCTGGTAATATGAACTGAGTCATCCATGGTTTCCAACCAAGCCAGAACTGACCAGTCTGAACTTCTGGTTTCAAAAGGCTAAATAAAAACAAGAAATTGTCATGTAACTAATCAATACAATACTTGTAAAATTATTTTAATTTAATTCTCTGGTGATAAAATGAGTTTCTCATGTTACAACTAGTCCAATGTCTATTTTAACAATTGACTTGATAAATTCTGAAGGTTTATGAACGGTATACCGTCTTTTGCTATTATCATGTTGTGCCATTACTTCAATACAGCAGAACATCTGGCACTTAGATGCGATGTATCCAGTGAACAAGAAGTCCAAAATACGTTTGAGGAGATGCAGAGGCATTTAGGTCCTATTAACTACCTGGTTAATGCAGCTGGGATCAACAGGTTAGTTATATGTTACAAGATTATATGTAACTCTAGATGACAGCATCTTCATGTAACATGTTACATTTAGTAAGAGTATTGTTAATGAGTACAGCTGGGAACAGTATTAAGCACTCACCCAAATTTCATTCCTGATGTGAAGGTAGAATTCTAACAGGGGATATAGCTTTCACTGTAATTTCTGTTCTGAATTTATTAATTCCCCCTCTACTCCTATTTCTTCCATTTCCCCCTGAAATGGTTCAAAACAATGTTTGATACCTATCTGCAAAGGACCCTTTGCTGCCAGAAGAATGTCTACTTTTTTTCTTGCTAGGCATCGTCTTTGCAGTGTCATAATTTTGAATGCTAGAACCATATAAATCTTCCATGAATCAGTGGTGTTTTATTATGAGCAAATGTAATAATTGGGATCGTTCAGTTGGGTTTTTTGGTCTGTTTGTCAGGGATGGATTGTTACTGAGAACCAAGACTGAAGATATGATAGCCCAGATTCACACTAACCTATTGGGAACAATGTTGACATGCAAAGCTGCTGTAAAAAGCATGATACAACAACAGGGAGGTGCTATTGTCAATATTGGTAAGTTTCTTGTCTAATCCAGTTGGATTCTATGCAATAATTTTTTGGAAAGGTTTAGAGGTGTAACATGCTGAAATATTGCTGATTACAATTGACTAGTTTCTTTGAATTTAGACCTCCTGTATTTAGCATTTCTTCATTAATGCTTATGTAAAACCAGCATATTTCAGTAAAAAACACTTCAGAATATATATTTTATTGAAAAAATAATTTTACCATTCTTTATCAGGTCTTTCAGTACCTAAATCTACTGACTGCTAGTTGTTAGCTAAGAATCAAATAGATACGGTTGGTTTCTTTTTTTTTCCTCTTTGCAAAGGTATTTTTTTAGAAAGCTCTTGATTTTACTCTCCTGGTGCCTTTTGGTCAACATGAACATACGGATTCCACAAAAATCACTGATAATCAAGGGATTTACTTATCCCAGCAGTAGGCTATGAAGTACATTTAATAATATATTTTTCATTCCTTTTCTTATAATTTCATTTTCCATTCCAAATTTAAAATTAAAATGATAAAGCTAGTACAAATTTTCTAATTAGTAATTTAATCTCTCCTTCTATTTGATGTTTATTTTAGGAAGTGTTGTAGGACTTAAAGGCAACTCTGGACAAAGTGTATACAGTGCTACCAAAGCAGGATTAGTTGGATTTTCACGCTCTCTTGCTAAAGAAGTGGGGAAAAGGCAAATTCGAGTCAACGTGGTTGCTCCAGGTTAGTTTTGGGGAAGTTCCTACTTCCTTGATTCCTGCAATACATGATAATCAAAACTGCTGGATATTTCCTGTACTCTGAAAGTAACTTCTATTATTTTCTTCAACTTTAGTAAGTCAATGTTTTTCGGTTTAAAGTGCAATGTGTTCTTTTACAAAACCTTTAGGATTTTAAGGCAACACTGAGAAATTTGAAACAGTGTGTCCACCTGTTACTCTATCCAGTATTATATAATAAATTTCTTTTTTGCTTGGTTCCAACTTTAAATCCTGCTGTCCTTGCAGATGGAAGCATTAGAATTCATTACATACAGACAGCTACCCTCATCTCCTGCTAGAGAATGCTTATTTGTTATTAGAGAAGCATGAAGGACTACAAGAAACTGGTATGAAAGAATCCTTGTGTATCCCTGCAGTAAAAGGAGAGGTTCTAGAAAGAAAGTTTTGCAAGGACAAGGCTGTGATTTCATAAGACCATCTAGCCCAAGCACAGCTGTGTACTCTGCAGCTCACCTTGTCCTTACTCTAATGCCTTTCAGACCTCTTCATGAAGCAGTTCAGCTTGCAAACTAGATGGGTAAAATACTTTTTCTTGTTAGTGATTTGTACAGCTTTATCACAGGTCCAGAGCCATCATAAAAGGGAAGAGTTGTGCAGTAGAAAGCAAAACCAGGACTTTCCATTTTGGTGGTAGCTAGAAGGCTGATAAAATCAGCTCTTTTTGAAGCTGCATCTTATGTGAAGTGCAGCAGGAGGAAAACTGAATCTCAGACTGTAAAGTGACAAATATTCTTCCAGTGAATGCTGTCCTAGAAATTATGCAAATAGTGTTGTAAATTCCAAAATATATAGAAACACTTGCAAGCTGCAGGGTTTTTTGCCAGAGATTTCATGCTTATGCTTTTATTGAGAGTGTTTTGGTGAAATAACTGTATTTTGTCTTTCCGCAAAGTTATGCTAAATATGGTTTTGGGACCAAATTTTAGTTACCTTTTTATTTATTTATTTTTCTTAACGGACTTCTAGAGATCTCTGCATTTTGGTTGTTACTTCAGTGCTTCCAAAACTGGGAGATAATTTATTGCTTAGGTTAAAAAATCGGTCTTGGCAATAAAATTATGTGGACTGACTTCTGAAACCTTGAAGAGTGGTAGCTGGCCCTGAATCCTGGTAGTAGACTTCATTTTGGAGGATTCCAGGGAAAATACACTAGAGGAATTTAGTTGAAGATTAGGTAACTCTTCAAATATCTCTCCTCTCTTAGGCTTTATTCACACAGAGATGACTGCTCATTTGGAAGAAGATGAGTTGAAGAAAGCAATTATCCTTGGAAGATTTGGAGAGCCTCGGGAAGTTGCACAAGCTGTTGTCTTTCTCCTAGAGTCCCCTTATGTTACAGGGAGTACTCTAGTTGTAGATGGAGGTTTACAGCTTATGACTTAAATACTACCTAGAATAAGCATCTACTTAAATGTCATTATGGGAATATATAAAGATATAATAGTTAAAGTGAGGGGTATGGAAGTTAGTTGGAGATTGATATATGTAATTGACTTGATATTATTTAGTCAGAGGAGAAATTCAGCAGCGATGAAGTCCAGTGTGTACATTTAGCTACCTGAAAGAGTCCATTTGGTATTATGAAGTCTGTGCATATAAGAATTTGAAAAAATCTGGTTTTGGTATGTTGATAACATGCTGATTAATTTTTAAAGCACTGTATGTTTTTGAAGTTATGTTTTCCAATTTGGTATAGGGTCAAGATTTTCTTTCAAATATCATGTTACACAAAAGTTAATAAAGCACAGTCATGTTTATGGCTTGGCAGGTATGATTGCGTTAAGTTTTTCATCTAGGGTGAAGGTTGCAAACTGTATAATTTTTTATTCTTATCAGTCCCTACAAAGTGGCAAGCAGTCTCCTTTGTTTTTTGTTTGTTTGCAGCTAATGCTACAAAGCTAGGAGCGTCTAGATTTCCAGCATACTTAAATTGTGTTTAGGAGATTGTATGTAACATGGTTTTGTATCAACAAATCTTGCTCAGTACCATTCTTGAATGTACGTACAGCAACTCATTTAATCCAGTAACACATGCTATATATTGAAGGACTGTTCATTGGTCATTGGAGTTGCTAGTTCAAATGTCCAAAACTGAACTAACAAACACTCGCTGAGACCAGTTGCCCCAGAGCCATCTACATCAGCGACTGGAGCATCAGATCTTGGTGAACAGGGTGGATCAGACCTTCCTTCAGCAGAGAAAACCCAGGTAAGAGTAGGAAGCTGCCAGGACCTGGCAACTTTCACAGTAGAGGTTGATGTGGTGCAGGCATTGCCAGGGTGATAGCCAAAGAGAGCACTGCAAGCAGCCATTGGTGCTTTTTCTGAAATTATTTTTTAATTTTTTCTTCCCTGAAGTGAGTTGAGTGGAGCAATCCCCTCACTGAACTGACCATTTGTGAGAGAGGCAGGCGAGTCATGAGTGTAGCTACAGCCCCAGCGGGCTATTTAAACACCCCAGGAGTGCAGGGATCACAGATCCCTGTGCAGTGATCAAGGTGGAACAAAGAGGGTGTGGTGAGTCATCTAAGCATGCCCCGGCAGTTTGCCTGGTTAGTCATTCAAAGGACCAGCTATGGTCGCAATTCAGCCAAAGGCTATTGTCCAAAGAAATGTGGAGACCCAGACAGAGGTCCCATGCAAACATGTAGGTGTGTCCAGGCCCCTGGCTGCAGGGAGTGCCTCCTGCATCCAATAGGGGATGAAGGGTCTCCCTGTTCTTTCTTTTGTTGTTAATATATTTATAGAAGCTCCTATCTGGAATAGATACAAAGCACTGCTGGAAGACAGCCAGTCTAATGGGGATGTCGATGACAGGCAACCTATATGAGAGGTCTTACCATGGTCAGATAGGCCTTCCAGTCATACAACACCCTCTTCTGCAGGAAGAATAGGAGATTGGCCCTCTGTTGTCAGAAGATGTAGGGGGGTAACTAGGAAAGCTAAGCCCTCCTCGGAATTAAACCTTGCAACAGAGGTCAAGGACAACACAAAGGGCTTCTTCAAATACATTGTGAACAAAAATAACAGTAGAGGCAGTATAGGCCCATTGCTGCACGAGGTGGGTGCCCTGGTGACAGAGGATACAAAGCAGGCTGAGTTACTAAATGCCTTCTTTGTCTCTTTCTTTACTGCTGGAGACTGTTCTTTGGAGCTCCAGAGCCATGACTCCCCAGAAGTCAGGATAAAGGAGGAGCTTGCCTTGGTCGATGAGGACTAGGTTAGGGTTCATTTAAGGAATCTGGACATCCATAAATCCATGGATCTTGATGGAATGCACCCATGGATGCTGAAGGAGCTGGTGGAAATCACTAGGCTACTCTCCATCATCTTTGCTAAGTCATGGGAAACAGGAGAGGTGCCTGAGGATGGAGGACCCAGGTAACTATAGACCAGTCAGCCTCACCTCCATCCCTGGAAAGCTGGTGGAACAACTTATCCTCAGTGCTGTCTCTAGGCATATACCAGGTGGATAGATGATGGTAGAGAAGTGGATGTGGTTTATCTTTATTTCAATAAAGCATTTTCCAGCATCCCACAGCATCCACACCGCTAAACTGAGGAAGTGTGATCTGGATGATGGGGTAGTGAGTGGATCATGAACTGGTTGAAAGGAAGAAGTCAGAGAGTTGTGGTCAATGGGACAGAGTCTAGTTGGAGGCCTGTATCTAGTGGAGTCCCTCAGGGTTTGGTACTGGAACCAGTACTATTCAATATATTCATCAATGACCTGGATGAGGGAACAGAGTGTGCCCTCAGCAAGTTTGCGGAGGACACTAAACGGGGAGGAGTGGCTGACACAGCAGAAGGCTGTGCTGCCATTCAGCAAGACCTGGACAGGCGGGAGAGTTGGATGGAGAGACATTTAATGAAATACAAGGGCAAGAGTCTTGCAGCTGGGAAAGAACAACCCCATGTAGCAGTGTAGGCTGGGGGCTGACCTGCTGGAGGGTAGTGTAGGGGGTGAAAGAGACCTGGGGGTCTTGGTGGACAGGAGGATGACCCTGAGCCAGCAATGGGCCCTTGTAGCCAAGAAGGCCAATGGCATCTTGGGGTATATTAGAAAGGGTGTGGTTAGTAGGTCAAGGGAGTTTCTCCTTCTCCTCTACTCTGTCCTGGTGAGGCCACATCTGGAATATTGTGTTCAGTTCCGGGCCCCTCAGTTCAAGGAAAGGGAGCTGCTTGAAAGAGTCCAGCACAGAGCCACAAAGACGATTAAGGGAGTGGAAAGGCTGAGGGAGCTGGGTTTCTTTAGCTTGGAGGAGTCTGAGGAGCGACCTCATCAATGCTTACAAATATGTAAAGGATGAGTGTCAAGGGGACAGAGCCAGGCTCTTCTCAGTGATGTCCAATGATAGGGCAGGGGGCAATGGGTGCAAACTGGAGCAGAGGAAGTGCCAGGTAAACATAAGGAAAAACTTCACTGTGAGGGTGACAGAGCACTGGAACAGGCTGCCCAGAGAGGTTGTGGAGGTCTACATCACTGGAGATATTAAAAACCCACTGCCTGCATGTGTTCCTGTGTGGCCTAGTAAAGGGGATCCTGCTCTGGCGGGGGTTTGGACTACATAATTTTTCAATGTCCCTTCCAACCCCTAACATTCTGTGATTCATAATATTCTGAGCTTGTGCAATGGTGAGCAGTACAGTTGCAGACTTTGCCACATAAAAGCCTTCACTGACTCTATAGATGTTTAGAAAACACCTATCACTTTCAGAGTGTGAAATTAAGTTGCTTTACTTTATGTCATCTTGAACGCTCTGTTCTACTACTGTGTTATGTAGATGCTCTTTAATATGTATGTTTAGTCAATAAAATAGCCATCTATTTTATTCAAGGCAGCTTTTCAAGCAAAGTAATTATTAAGCTATAAATTATCCTGAATGCTCCTCCCTTGCTGAAAAATTACCCCAAATTTGACCTCAGGCTTTTCTATTGAGATCAAGTAGTTTTTGGTAATCAATGTTTTTATCCTCCCTGAAGAAAGCTATGAATATTGCTTAGGACCTTCACTTCTTAGCTCCAGTGTTGCATCATGATTCAGATGTTGATTCAGCTTTTTAAATTACTGCCTGTCTTGGCACAAATCCAGGTACAGAAAGAAGAGATCCCACTGATGATAACTTTGAGTCGTCAAAGTCTGAGATTATTTTCATTTGTGCAGCTGAGAAATGTTATCTGTGTGCCAGAAAACAGTGCATGTTCAAGCTTCTCACAGGTATGTATTGAGAAATGATACAATAAATGGTTGTATATTCAGGAGGATTTACAGTTGGTTGTGTTATCACTTTGGAATATAAAGCATCACTAAAGCTAGTCCTTTCAGGAGTCCTTATCTTACTTGTTCTCTTTGTAGAGGGGTAATGTTACTTACTGTGAAAACTTGTCATACGTGTCTCTGCAACAAAAATATAATTGCTAATTATGTTTCTCTTTCATAGGAGGAATTGACCAAAAAACAGGTGAATTGTTTTCTGAGGGTGCTGAAAGTGAGGAAGGACAGCTAGTACTCCCATTTTTACTAGTCAAGTAGTAATATGTCAGTAACTTGGCTGCTGCCCATACCTGTCCTTAATGTTTTAGAGACAAAGTGTGTGTGACACACCTTGACCAGAAGCCAAACTTAGGAGGCTGAAAATAATTTCCCCCAAGTGAGTTCTGACCCTAGTTATTATTATCCCTTTCTTTTGGAAGGTAAGGGAACTGTTAAAGAAGTTATTAGCAATGGCATTTTTAATTTATTTTTGTGATTAAAACCTGGAATAACACCCTCAAAAGAATCTCAGTATGTTGCAAAGGAATTTTTTTTAAATATTGCAATGCATACTGTATTTTCATTACTGCTTTTGCTATAGGACCAGACTGAAGTGTTGCTAGCCTAAAAGTTATATTTTCTAAAGGCATTTTTTCCCCTTTTCTTCAAACTGAGAACTAGTTAAAAATGGTATAAGTCATTTTAGCATTTACTGTGTACACCTACTCGTAAGAAGTAATTTTTGCCAGATTAGGGTTCTCTCTGGCTGTGTATGATCTCTTGGACAATGGAAGCAGTGAATGCATAGGGTAGTATCAGATCAAGGGTGTGGGGATGTCTCCTTAGAAGGCATTTGTACCTCCAATATTTGTGATTGATATGTTGAATCTGCCATTTGTTAGCTCTGGTTGAGCAGAAAGGGGTGACTCCACTGCCAACTATTCAAGGCCACCAACTCTCCACCACCAACTCTTCACCGGGTGCTTGTACACCAGCACAAATGGGCCAGCTAATATGCAGACAAGGGTGGAAGGTGTGTGGGGAGAACTACAGGAGGGTTTTGCTCAGGAAGCTAGGGAGCAGGTGACTGCCCCACTGCAGGGAGGACTGCAGTGGCAGGAGGGAAGCAGCACAGCACCAATCCACATAGAAT